TATGATGATCCTCTAAGTCTTCCTACCAACATGACCGAGTTGTAAAGACAAGGTCACACAACTTCCATACAACGAAAGTAGCCTGCGACCACACAAAAGGCCACACCATCTTGGTCTTCATACCTTGTTTGATTTTTATCAACATCACCCTATGCGTCCGGTTGATTAAACATTCTATTAAAATTGTACTATGCCATCACATTCTGCTATTTATCATTTAAACCAAGACAAGCATATATAAATGTCATTTCTTTCGTTATTAACGTTCACACTCTTATCATTGTGATAAAAGTGTTTGACATAGGATTGTGGTATGATGCATTCTCCTGACTTCATCTTCAATGCTGGACGCCATTTCTGGCAAGTTTGCGTTGTTGAGGTTATCTGAAATGTTATGGTCGTCAGGTGGGCTGACCCAGTACGGAATGGGCATCGCTTGCAGGTTGATGCCAATTTCACATGCGATCGTCATGTGATAGTTTATCATGCGATTTCTGAGAGGTAGGCGTTGAAGGCGGGCGAAAAGAGAATGGAGGCGATAATGTTGGAGGCTTCAAGTCCGATCTCGGAAGGGATCGACTGGTTGGTGAGCAAGTTTAACAACTTCTCCGACTGTGCTCGTATCATCCAGGCCTCCATTCCTCGACTGTGCACAGTCGCCATTTCACTCAACTTCTCGCCTCGTCTAGCCGACACATGTACCAGCCCATCTGAGGCCATGCGCTCACGATATGACTTGAGTTGAGCGGTAGGAGCATTCGTTTGGTCGGAGAGATGGGTCACCAGGTCACTTGGTCGTCGAGTGGACAGCAGCTCGGTCAAGACATCATGCGACATGCATGCAGCCGCCGGTTTACATGACAGCCGCGGAGGCATGTCGGCACGTCTCGTCACGTCCGACAGACCGATACACTCGGAGCTGACCGATTTGCCACGGAAAAGACGGAATCTGCCGAAGTTCACGTTGGCCTCGGGCGCAAGCGACGTCGGTCTGTATCAAGAGATGTTAGGGTGAAGCAAGTCACTGCCAGGCCTGGCTTGAGGAGATATGCAAATGTAATAAAAATGTGAAAGTTGTTTGACCTTGTTTTTGCTACCCGGTCGTGTCGGTAGGACGACTTAGAGGAACGCACCTTGTCCGGAGTCCATTGTATGCATAATCATTTCCAAAGTTGGACCGTAGACGTGGTACCTTCCCAGACATTTCGCCGGCATCGTCAGTGAGTCTCGCCATTCTTAGAACCATTCAACAACTCGTCAAAGAGACAAGTGAAGCCCATCCTTTGACCAAACGTGTGTCAAACAATTATGGTATATCCCCTTCTGCTCTGGGATATTCACATTTCCTATATCCTCCTATAACGGATAGGAGTCTAAGTCCTCCTACCAACATGACCAAGTTGCGAAAACAAGGTCAAACAACCTCGATACAACGAAAGGAGACTGCGACCACACAAAAGACCATACCATCTTGGTTTTCATACCCTATTTCGCAACAGAATAGCCGAATTGGTGTGTCTCTGAGACTAAATCTCACACTTCTGAGAAGCATTAAATTAAGTGATGGGCTTCCAAAGTACATCTTCCCACCAAATGAGCCTTTATGGCTGGTGGTTAGTCAGTTTGGAATGAGTATGCTTGAAGGCAATCAAAGAAAAATGATTACTTTTGGAAACTTTTTCTTTTTGATTGCTGAGTTTATTTCGAGTTTAGGTGAAAATTGGTAGAAGGGATAAGAAGGTCCGAAAGCTGATCCGGCCAGAAGGAGGACTGCCAACAAATTGCCCTTAACCAAGTGTCATTTGTCTTAAAGAGAACCCTATTGTCGACTCTGTCCCCGAAGCAATCTCCCCCTTTTCTGCCCTGGGCTATTCACATTTCCTATACCACAACTGTTCAGCAAACGTTTGGTCAAGGGATCGGCTTCAATTGTCTCTTTGACGAGTTTTTGTGTGGTGCTCAGAATGGCAAAACTCACTGACGATGCCGGCGAAACGTCTGGGAAGGTACCACGTCCATGGTCCTACTCTGGAAATGATGATGTAGACAATGGATTCCGGACAAGGTGTGTTCCTTTAAGTCTTCCTACCAACATAACCAAGTTTCGAAAACAAGGTCAAACAACTTCTATACAACGAAAGCAGACTTCGACCACACAACAGGTCACAACATCTTGACCTTCATACATTCGATTAATAATTATATTGTCTACCGGTCCCTATTTCGCAACAGATTAGCCGGAATGGTGTGTCTCCGAGACTAAATCTCACACTTCGGAGAAGCAGAAACCTAATTGATAGGCTCCAAAGTATATCTTCCTACCAAATGAGCCGTTCTGGCTGGTGGTAAACGAGATGTTTTAGACAACAAATACAAGTCAGATGCTGGGAATCATGACAACTATTATGGCAGACGACTTCCGACTAGGTGCGTTCCTCTAAGTCTTCCTACCATTATGACCAAGTTGCAAAAAAAAAGGTCAAACAACCTCGATACAACGAAAGGGGACTGCGACCACACAAAAGGTCACACCATCTTGGTCTTCATACCCTATTTCGCAACAGGATAGCCGGAATGGTGTGTCTCCGAGACTAAATCTCACATTCCTGACTAGCATAAACCTAAATGATGGGCTTCCAAAGTACATCTTTCCACCAAATGAGCCATTATGGCTGGTGTTAAGTGAAAACGTTTAGCTGCCAAACACAAGTCAGTTTGGAAACTTTTGCTTTTTGATTGCTGAGTCTAATTCGAGTTTAGGTAAAAGTTGGTAGAAGGGATAAATAGGTCCGAAAGCTGATCCGGCCAGAAGGGGACCGCCGACAAATTGCCCATAACCAAGTGTCATTTGTCTTAAAGCAAACCCTATTTTCGACGCTGTCCCCGAAGCAATCTCCCCTTCTGCCCTGAGCTATTCACATTTTCTATACCACAACTGTTTAGCACACGTTTGGTGAAAGGATCTAATTCACTTGTTTCTTTGACGAGTTCTTGAATGGTGCTGAGAATGGCGATAATCACTGAAGATGCTGGCGAAACGTCTCGGAATGTACCATGTCCAGGGTTCTACTCTGGAAATGATGATGCATACAAAGGACTCCGGACAAGGTGCGTTCCTCTAAGTCTTCCTACCAACATGACCGAGTTGCGAAAACAAGGTCAAAGAACTTTTATTCAATGAAAAGAAACTGCGACCACACAAAAGGTCACACCATCTTGGCCTTCATACATTCGATTTATAATTATTCGGTCTACCGGTCCATATTTGGCAACAGATTAGCCTGAATGGTGTGTCTCCGAGACTAAATCTCACACTTCTGAAAAGCATAAACCTAAGTGATGGGCTTCCAAAGTACATCTTCTCACCAAATGATTCGTTATGGCTGGTGCTATGTGAAAATGTTTAGCCAACAAACACAAGTCAGATGCTGAGAATCATGACAACTACTATATCAGACGACTTCGGACTAGGTGCGTTCTACCTAGTCGCCCTGACAACGAGACCAAGTTGCAACAGCGAGGTCAACCAATTTCTATTAATCGCAAGGAGACTGCGACCATAACAAAGGCCACAACATCTTGGTCTTAATATCTTCAAACACAGGTCAGTTTGGAATGTGTATACTTGAAGGCTAGCGAAGAAAAATGAATTTTTTGGAAACTTTTGCTTTTTGATTGCTGAGTTCAATTCGAGTTTAAGTGAAAGTTGATAGAAGGGATAAGGAGGTCCAATCTGGCCAGAAGGGGACTGCCAACAAATTGCCTCTAACCAAGTGTCAATTGTCTTAAACAGAATCCTATTGTCGACGCTGTGCCCGAAGCAATCTCCTCCGATTTTTCGTTATTTTACATAATCGGTCTACGAGAATACCATTAGATCATATAAAGAAAATATATTGACCCCATTTTGGTTGAGGTGGTTTGAGGATTTGTAGTTGAATTTTCCCACAATCGTATGAGCAGGCCCTACGTTTCCATTAATTTTCACACAGCTTTGCTTAACCAAAAGTTATTCTCATAAAAACGTGAAATGGGAATGCCTCGTCTTCCTTGAAATGTACATCTACCCCATCATCAAGGGTCACTCGCGGCATGTTTCGTAGTAGTAGCATGTGCTACTATTAGCCAAGTTCATTACCTCTTGGTTAGCTGATGAGACAATTAAAAGCGAGATCTGAACTTCAATCCACTTTCTGGAAGCAATGTGAGGCCCACTCGTATGATATGATATAAAAAGGCAACTATCAGTTCACACAACTTATGCGACTCAAAGTGCCTTGGACTCTTGTATGATAGCTTCGAAACCGAATCTATCCAAATATTACTACTTATTGTCATTAATCTTAATGGTGAATTCAACTCTGCCCTAGCGACTGTCCCACTATGAGTGTGAAGCTAAGAGGTCTCGCCGGACCAAAAGAGGATTGACTGCCGTAGAGTGAGGAATAGTGGACAGTGTGAAAATTCTTCGCTTTACCGTCCTGCGACTCCGATGGTCCATGCTAAGTTTTGACCTGTCATTAGACAGTCCAACATCACCAAAGTGGGAAAGAGCATTTGCAAATAAACACACAAGCTATAATTATCCCAGAAATAAGGCTATTTGTATCTGGTATTTTTAATATATGACTTGACTTCCTATTTAAACAAAAAAAGGCGGTTGAAAGGAGTTCGTGAGTTGGTTCCACCGGAAACTGAAGGAGGACTGGCCTGAATTAAGGTGTCTGAGGTTTGTGTGAAAAGCTCCTCTGCACACCTTTCTGCGACTCTGATGAACATGTGCTAAGCTTTCGTTTGGCATGTGACAGGCATCCTCAAAGTGGGAAGCCATTCTTTGCTAAATAGGGCGCCAATTTAAAGTACATACAGCCCACCTTTTCTCGTGGTTTTGTTGATTGTTGTGCTAGTTCGCAACGATTGGTTGCTTGCTCTGAGAATTTCTGCCGAAGGACGGTAAGCCAAGAACTGCTTCGCACAATCCAACATTCTTCACACAAACGCAATGCTTCTTCGCTTTGCGGTGAGACAAATTAACGAAGTCCTTCTAATAAACGTCTCCTTCGAAATGGAAAGTTGCATACCAGCAACTCACTAAAATATCCTATAAAACACGGTTTTTCCTCACATTGTAAATCTTAATTTCCCACACTGAAATGGAGAATAGGGCGTACCATTA